CACCAGCTGAGCATATTTAATATTTTCTCCAAAAGCCACACACAGATATCCGCCTTTTAGTCCAACATTATGCGCAGGTTTTTAAATTTTTTTATTTTATTGTTTTTTACCTTTGTTTCTTTTGTATATTTCTGACTAAACCTGTTTTCCACCTTGTAACTGAGAATAACACTCAGGTGGGGAGGAGGACAGCTGTAATCTCTGTCTTCAGTTCATCTCAGACCCTTAGTGGCAACTCTGAACCACTTAAGAGTCCTCTGGAGCAGTCTGAACTTTTCTTGAGAGTAAGAGGGRTTCTTAGACTTAAGAATTTTGATAACTTATACTTAAGTCTGAGACTAGGAGCAAATCTAAGACATTTTCAGCACTTAAGTCTAAAAAACCACTCTAAGAAGTTTTATAAATACGGGCCCTGGTCCACAGGACTCGTACCTCCACAGGGCGGTTTGTCACGTTTCCAAGGCAGTGAGCTGAGAGGTGGTCCACAGTGGCATCCCCCGTGCAGTTCATCTGTCAAAACAAAGCCTCCTGTTGGTAAAAGTTTATTTGTTTTGGTCTGAAGGAGGAGATAGAAGAAATATTTGCTGAGAGTTAAAGCTGCTACAGACTTTCTGACAATATTGTGACAGCCTCATTTGTTTGTTTGTTTAGATTTTAGAATTGCTGTAATTACTGTCAGATCTTCATAAGAGGAAAAATGTGAAGATTTATTTTTTATGTCTTTATGTTAAAATAAAGAAACAGACAAATCAAATTAGCCTCAAGACTAAAGATTTAGTTGTTGTTTTTTTCTTTAAACCACGTGTAAAAGTCTTGAGTGGATACTTTTTGATTATATCTGACAATGTGAAACAAGAGCAGAAAAGTAAATGTTCTCCTCAATGCTCTATTTTTTAGTATTTTTCTTTGTAAAAATTTTATATTGTGTGGCTTTATTTTAACTTAAACTTTTTTTTTTTACTGGTTAAAGTTAATTTTAGATTTATCCACTCATGAAGACCTATCTGCATATATAACCTGTAAGAAAGTAAAATATACCTGTAAAGAAGTGGGGATGAGACCCTGGAGCAGTTTCATCTGTTGCCACATGAACACAACTAAAACAGCTGTTCTGTTTTTGGATCCAGCATTAAAAATCATCTSAGCAATTTTCTTTTCTTCCACATGAAGGACCAGACCTGAGGCAAGTCCTTCTGTTTCTAACTGCAGGAAGAAAAACATAAAAATACAGAAACTGTGAATTAGGCAAGARTATTAATCATAATAAAATATACAGTTGAAACCAGAGGTTTACATACAGTACACTGTATAAACAGACAATTTTTTTTCTTATTCTGACATTAAATCAGACCAAATCTTCCATGTTTTAGGTCAGTTAGGATTCTCAAAACGATGTGTATTTTTAAATGCCTGAAACTTTTTTTTTAGAAAGTTTCAATTAATTTTCTTATATTAGTTATGTTTAAACTGTCTGACTCAAGTCAAAGGTTTAGTTTTCTTCCACAGTCTCTCTCAACAGTTTGTTGGATTTTCATCCTGTTCCTCCTGACAGAACTGAAGGAACTGAGTCAGGTTTGATGTTTTTTCAGCTCTGCCCACAGATTTCTGASACTGAGATCAGAACTTTGTGATGTTTGCTCTGAAACACAGACTTTGTTGTTCTTCAGTCACTTTGTAACTAATCTGTCTGCTGAGGGTCACTGTTCAGTTCAAGATTTAACTTCCTGTTGAGATGTTGATGTCATCTGTTTTATGAAGCTTCCACATCATGATGCTGCCGCCTCCGTACTTCACAGTTAGGATGATGTTCTCAGACTAACAAGCTTCAAATGTAACGATGGTCATCAGGACCAAACAGTTCATTTTTAGCTTCATCAGACTGCAGGACATGTCTCACTGCATGCATTGTGTCTCTGGGATTAATGACTTCTTCCTCACTGAGTGTCCTTTCAGTCCACGTTGTTCCAGAACTGTTTCACTGTGGATAAAGACTGATCAGATTCAGCAGCATCTTCACAACAAGATGTTTTTTTGTGTTGGTTCACAGATGTCACTAACAAACCTGTTTTTAGTATTATTTATTAATTTCAGAACCCAGATCTTGTCTCCTTCCTGAGCTGTGAAGGCAGGACGTTCATGGTGTTTATTTTTGTGTAGGTGAATTTTTCTGTAGGTGAATCCAGCAGATCTGATCTCCTCAAAAAGATTGTTCTATTTCAGGAGTAAACTCCTAAATAGTAGCTGTAATTAACTATTAATTAAATTTAGTTATTACAGAAGGAATCAGATCATACACTGATTCAACACCCACCACTGCTCAAATGTTGTCAACTAATCATCAAAAGTTTCGGGAGTCATGACATCATCTTTTGGGCTTTCCTAGTCTGGTAAAAACCAGCCCCTTGCTCTASTCTTTGCTTCATGACGGACATGACGTATGTAGTGCACCAACTCAATCATGAAGGAAGCTAAGCTAAGAAGCTAACCTGAAACTGTGTGCATTGTAAACAACCATCCCCTACTGGGAAGAGAGAAGCACTGGGCTGAACCAGATGGCTGTAAATGAGAGCTGCAGGCTTTGAGAGACAAATTTATTTAATTTGGAAACCATGTCAACATGGACTGGCTTCATTCACTTCCTCCACTGCCATTGCTAAACTACAGGCAGACTGAAGCTGTGTTTCTATCTAATTTTAATTTGAATTTTGAGCAATTTCTTATTTTGCAAAAAGGAAAAAACAAAGAAATGCGAATCAAATGTGTTTCCATCAAATAGCTTGAAGCGAATTAAATATGTCAGATGCATGCGTGTAGTAAACAGGAAGTAAAAGTTGCATCTCAGGACAATGGAGAGAAGTTATCAGGAACATGTTGCTACTATCARGRAACTTGYAATTATTCTRTCATATCAACTAGTTCTGGTGATGTTWCATGCTGTYTGGAGACTCAGAGAAAGAGATGTAATTCTCTTCACATTACAGGAATAACTGAGAATACGCTGACAGCGGGAGGAGGGTCCTGCTGCCAGTCGCGGCTGCAGCTCTGGTACCGATACCAGTTTCAGACAGACAACTGATCAACCACGTGAAGTAAATGTTCGCTACGTCAGAACTTATTCGACAAATATGTTTCCATCTCTCCTTTTGCGCTTTAACTCTTTTTCAAAAAACCAAAAACCACCTCAAGCGAGCGTATAAACTTTTATGCGAATTAGAGGAAGTTTTTTCGAATCGTGCCGTTTCCATTCACCTTCTCTGATGCGATACTTCAAAATGTGCATTAAAAAACCTTGATGGAAACACGGCTTGAAACAGCACAGAACATCAATGTCGTGTTCACAACTCCTCCTTCTGTTCACTGATTGGCCAGTTGAAATTCTACCAGAGAAATTCCTGTTTATGGGAGAAAACCCAGACAGCTTCGGGCTTTCCCAAATAATTTAAAGGCAGTAATCTTAGTGCATGTAAACTTCTGAATTTCAAGAAAAAATTCTCTAAAAACTCTCTGATTATTTAAGCATTTAATAAATAAAAATCCTAGCTGAACCAAAACAGGAGAGGTTTAGACTGATTTACAGTGAAGGAAAAAATTTGTGTCTTTTTATAGTGTATGCAAACATCAGGAGTCAGTTTGATGCATTTTGGTGAAAAAAATAACAGTTCTGCACCTGGTAATGAGCTCTGGCCTGAACAGAACTGAACAGCCCTCTCCTCTGCATGGCTCTGACTTGGTGCTGGAGCCTGGAGAAGCACTGCCATCGAAGGCCGGTTCTGSCTCGGTGAAACTCAGCTTTAAGGTTTTCAGATCCCGCCTGCAGCTCCGCCAGGACTGAGAGCAGAGCATCATCCTGTATCCACCTCACCTGAGCACTGCTGTTGGAAGGGACACCTGCATGCAGAACACTAAGGTATGCAACTGAATATTTACTGTTACTGCATCTATATACAGTCCCTACTGTTTATTAAATATAGACCACCTGTGGTGCTGAGCAGACGGGAAGAGTGAGATAGTTGCACAAAGATTTCCCCCTTTCTGTCATTTACAAACTGCCGGCTGATGTTCACACAGAAATGTTCTGTTCCGGACCGAACGTACAGCCAGTCCTGAGACTTYCCTCCTGACAAGCCCTCCGCTTCATCCAGACTTCCTGCAGCTGGGCCCTGATGTCTCAGCTCTATGCTGTGAACCGCATCCATCACTCGGACTCTCATGCGTCCTGCAACAACACACAAACTGCATACAGCTTAAAAAAATCAAAGACAAGTTACAGTTCAAAMTGAGAGCTAGAAAAACTTTTATACTCCAGTTTTTAAAATGTTGGGGCATTGTTCAAAATGTGAAGAAAAATAGAATGTAATGATTTACAAATCTCATAAACTTATGGAACATATTAAACATATCATATGTTTAAACTAAAAAATCTTTTTTAATAACAAAAAGCATATATATATTTTTGAAGCAGTAAAACTTAAAAAAATGTTGCAACACGGTCATTTTTCCAACTGTGAAACATTCTGGGACTTTTTCAGGGAAAGGTTGTTTCGTTATTTTCTGAAGGAGGATTTTAGCTTTCCAACACCCTTGTTGGAGTTTTTTTGTTTTGAGGCGTTGAATGTTTTTAATTAGTAGAGGTCAGAACTTCAAACAGGTCCGTTCAGGACCTGGACTCTTGTTGTAATGGATGGAAGCAGTTGTTCTAAAATCTGTAGATACTTTTCTGTATGGAGGCTTTTCAGATGTGTAAGCTGAGGCACTAATGCACCCCCATACCATCAGAGAGCCACACTATTGAATTGTCTGCTGATAACAGTCTGGATGGTCCCTCTCCTCTTTAGTATAAAGTTTCCAAAAGAAATTAGTCAATGTTCATCCGTCTAACAAAACAAAACAGTTSTCCAATTGACCTCCTCAGTTTTTTCATTTTGAATGMTTTTTGGTTGAGAAAAGAYGGCAGYGGTTCTGGATGGTGTTCACATWTGGCTTCTGTCACTATGTTCTGACCGGTGGATGGCTCCTCCCAATGGTCCTTCAGCCATTTGCAGAAACACCGCTCCCGTTCAGAAACAACCAGGGTTGTCTTACCAGTGTCAGTCATGCTCATGTGCTACGCCCTCCCAGCTGTGCTGATGGTGGGATCTATTGTTGCTTCTGTTTAGCATCATCACCGTTGCTAGGCAACAGGACATACACTGGGGCAAGGGTGGGAGTAAAACTGAAGGCTGTAGACCATCCAWATTCACARCCACTTTCTTCCAGTCTTCGCGGTCGACCAAGAACCCAACCCACCTAGAACAGGTCCTTTGAAGGACTCAGACCCTGAATTTGGACACAGCCTTGGCCCCGCCCCTCTGTATGTCTCGGCACTGCCCACTTTGTTGGATTTTTTCAATTTTGCCTGGGGCTGGAGTAATGTTTTCACAGGAGGGGTTAGTTACGTGGATGGTAAACTGTTYACAGCAGAGGTTTATAGCAACATARTACATTTACTTAGTTAMAGTAATTAAGTAATTGTTTTGAGGATTTGTTGTGTTTTTAATCATTTACTTTCTTTTGTTACATTTAAAATGTAAGAATTATACTTTTACTAGGAGAGAGGTTCTCAAGTAGAACAGAGGGTCTCAGGTAAAACAAAGGGTCTCAGGTAAAACAGAGGGTCTCAGGTAAAACAGAGGGTCTCAGGTAGAACAGAGGGTCTCAGGTAGAACAGAGGGTCTCAGGTAGAACGGAGTGTCTCAGGTAAAACAGAGGGTCTCAGGTAGAACAGAGGGTCTCAGGTAAAACAGAGGGTCTCAGGTAGAACGGAGTGTCTCAGGTAGAACAGAGGGTCTCAGGTAGAACAGAGGGTCTCAGGTAGAACAGAGGGTCTCAGGTAAAACAGAGGGTCTCAGGTAGAACGGAGTGTCTCAGGTAGAACAGAGGGTCTCAGGTAGAACAGAGGGTCTCAGGTAGAACAGAGGGTCTCAGGTAGGACAGACTGTCTCA